CACATCTGAAATAATGAACTAAGAATAACACAAAAACATAACAAAAAAAATACTAAAAAGAAAGAAAAATACAAAAATAAATAAATAAATAAATAAAAACCAAACGGAATCAAAATCTTGGGTTGCCTCCCAAAAAGAGCTTGTTTAAAGTCTTAAGCTCGACTCTTTTCTATCGTTAATTAGGATTTTGAAGAAAAATTGAAACCCTCTCGTCTTCATTCCTATTCTCAATATAAGGTTTCAATCTTTGGCTATTGACTTTGAATGTTCGCTTCGTCGGGTGGTGAAGCTCTGTCGCCCCATACAGAAACACGCGGTGAATTATGAACAGGCCAGACCATCTTGAACGTAATTTTTCCGAGAAAAGTCATAGTCTTGAGTTAAACAACAGCACTTTGTCACCCTTCTAGAATTCCTTGTTCACGATATGTTTGTCATGCCACTGCTTTGTCTTTTTTTTTTTTTTCGTTTGTAGATTTGGGCATTCTCATATGCATTATTGCGAAACTCTTCCATCTCATTGAGTTGCAGTAATCGTTTTGCTCTTGCGGCTTGTAGATCGAAGTTCAGAAACTTCACTGCCTAATATGACCTGTGTTCTAACTCTACAGGCAAATGACAAGCTTTTCCATAAACCATCCGATAGGGCGACATTCCTATTGGTGTTTTGAATGCTGTCCTATATGCCGATAATGCATTATCAAGCTTGGTTTCCTAATCCTTTCGAGAGGTGCTTACTATCTTTTCCAAGATTCGTTCAAGCTCCCTGTTGGATACTTTTACTTGGCCATTGGTTTGAGGGTGATATGGGGTAGCAACTCAATCTGTAACCCCATACTTGCTTAACAATGTTGCAAATTGGCGATTGCAAAAATGAGAACCACCATCACTGATAATGGCCCTCGACGTGCCAAATCTTGAGAAGATATTTTGCTTCACAAACTTGACAACTACGCGAGCATCGTTTATTGGCAACGCAGCAGCTTCACCCACTTCGAAACATAATCTACAGCAACCAACATAAAATGGTTAGAAAACGAGGAAGGAAACGGTCCCATCAAATCTATTCCCCACACGTCAAACAATTCTACTTCTAGGATATTATTTAAAGGCATGGCATTTCTTCTAGATATGTTCCCAACCCGTTGACACTCATCACAACTCATAACAAAATGAAAAGCATCTTTCAAAAGAGTTGGCGAGAAAAATCCTGATTGAAGAACTTTAGCGGCGATCTTTGTCGAACCAAAATGACCACCAACTTCCATTGAATGACAATGACGAAGAATATTCGTCATCTCTTCCTCTGGCACACATATTCTTATCATTTGATCGGTGTAATACTTGGACAAAAATGGATCCTCCCAAAAGTAGTACTTTAAATCTGCAAAAAATTTCTTTCGTCTTTGGGAGTTCATTCCAAGAGGCAATACTTTCTGCGCCAAATAGTTAGCAATATATGCAAACCACGGCCCTTCTTAAATAGCAAACAATTGCTGATTTGGGAAGTATTCGTTGATTGGCTTTTCTTCCTCTCGAACTTCTTCATTGGACTCTAATCGAGATAAATGATCAGCTACTTGATTTTCCGTTCCTTTTTTGTCCTTAATTTCCTAGTCAAATTCTTGTAAGAGCAATACCCATCACAATAATCTTGGCTTGGAATCCCGTTTTGCTAAGAGGTACTTCAATGCAGCATGGTCAGTGTACACAATAACCTTGGTACCTAGCAAATAAGAACGAAATTTATCAATAGAGAATACTACTGCTAAAAATTGTTTTTCAGTAGTGGCATAATTTAATTGTGGTCCCATTAAAGTCTTGTTGGCATAATAAATCACATGCAAAACCTTACCTTTTCGTTGTCCTAAAATAGCCCCTAAAGCATAATCACTGGCATCACACATAAGTTCAAAAGGCAATTCCCAATCGGGCATAACAATAATAGGAGTAGAGATTAATTTTTCTTTTAAACACTTAAATGCATCTAAACACTCTTGACTAAAATTAAAAGGAACATCCTTAGCTAATAAATCACAGAGAGGTTTAGAGATTTTAGAGAAATCCTGTATGAATCTCCTATAAAAAACCGCATGCCCAAGGAAACTTCTAACAGCCTTTCACTGAATTTGGAGGTGGTAGTTTCTCAATGGCTTCAATCTTCGCTCGATCCACCTCAATTCCATTCGTGGATATCTGATGACCTAACACAATCCCATCTCATACCATGAAATGGCATTTTTCCCAATTTAACACCAGGTTAGTGTCAACACATCTCTGTAAAACATTAGATAAGTTAGTTAAACAATCATCAAAAGAATCTCCAAAAATAGAAAAATCGTCCATGAAAACTTCAATTGACTTCTCAACCATATCAGAGAATATTGAGATCATGCAACGTTGAAAAGTTGCAAGAGCGTTGCACAAGCCAAAAGGCGTTTTCGATAGGCAAATGTTCCATATGGGCACGTGAAAGTCATTTTCTCTTGATCTTCTAGCGCTATAGCAATTTGATTGTAGCCTGAATATCCGTCTAAGAAACAATAGAACTCATGGCCAGCTAACCTCTCTAACATTTGATCGATGAATGGTAATGGAAAATGGTCCTTACGAGTCACGGAATTCAATTTGTGATAGTTGATACATACTCTCCATCCCGTGACTGTTCATGTTGGAATCAGCTCATTGTTATCATTACGGACCACTGTCATTCCTCATTTCTTTGGCACTACTTAGACTGGACTTACCCATGCACTATCCGAAATTGGATATATAATTCCTACATTTAAGAGCTTCAACATCTCCCTTTTAACCACTTCTTGCATTGATGGATTCAATCTTCTTTGTGGTTGGACGGTAGGCTTATAACTTTCCTCCATTAGGATCTTGTGCATGCAAATTGAAGGACTGATACCTTTTATATCCGCAATTGTCCATCCAATGGCCTTCTTGTATTTTCTCAATATGCGCAGCAACTTTTCTTCCTCTACAACACTCAAAGAAGCATTAATAATGACTGGAAAAAAATTTATCCTCTTCTAAAAATGCATACCTTAAATGAGATGGTAGTTGCTTGAGCTCAAGTGTAGGTGCCTTTGTGATTGGTAAAGTGGACTAAGACACCACGGCTCCAATTTCTCTGATCGATTTAGCTTCAGGACAAACCAAGGGTGGTAGAGCATTTAAGTATCTTAAACACTCTCTTATCTCTTCACTATCAACTTCATCCTCATGATCTCTAGAATTCATCAAACAATTCTCTAAAGGGAAAATGGGCTTTCTTCAAAATTCTGCTCCATTATGGTGTCAAGAACATCAATCTTAAAACATGAGTCTAATTCAAATGGACATTTCATAGATTCAAAAACATCAAATTCTACTTGCTCATCTTCTACCCTTAAGATTAATTTCCCTTGGTGGACATCTATCAATGCTCTACCCGTGGCTAGAAAAGGTTGTCCTAAAATTAAATGTATTTCCTTATCTTCCTCCATGTCTAATACTATGAAATCTATTGGGAAAATCAGTTTGTCTACCTTAATCAAGACATCTTCTACCAACCCCCTATGATATATTATCGATTGATCAGCTAATTGGAGCGACACGGTGGTTGGCTTCACTTCTCCTAATCCAAGCTTCCTGTAAATGGAAAACGGTATTAAATTTATACTTGCTCCTAAATCACATAAAACCTTATCAAAATAACAACTACCAATAATACAAGGGATAGTAAAACTCCCTAGATCTCGTAATTTAGGTGGTAGTTTCTTTTGAATCAGCGCGCTACATTCCTCCGTTAACATATCTTTCTCGTGTTCCTTGAATTTTCTCTTGTGCTTGAGGATCTCCTTCAAAAACTTCACATATTTCGGCATTTGTTCTAGCATATCAACAAAATGGATATTAATATGTAAATTTCGAAACATGTCAATAAACTTACCAAATTGCTTATCAAGCTTCTGATTCTTCAACCGTTTTGGGTATGGAAGGGTTGTGTGGCTCGAAGAAAGTTTCTACTCAGATGCACGCTCGCATCAGCGATGAGTTGAAAATTCTGACAAATTAGGAGCAGATTCATGCTCATCGCAGCCACCAAATTCATCGCCGTAGCGATCGTCCTTCTTCCTGGTGAGCTACTCCAAATTCTCACGATCGCTGCGGCAATTAATTTCATCACCACAGCGATCATTCTTCTGCTCTTCCTTCAAATCTTTCTCTTGTTCTTGCTTCTGTTTTTCACCCTCTGAATTTTCCAAATTTTATCCGCTCCTCAAGGTGATTGCATATGCTTGTTCCTTAGGATTCTTCTCTATATCACTCGGCAAAACTCTTAAACTCTTCCCACTAATATGTTATGAACTTGCCCAATTTGAGTCTCAAGGTTCCTAATAGAGGCTGATTGATTTTGAACAAAGATGTTAGTCTTCTCAAACCCCTTGCTTGTCTCTTCAATGAACTTGGTTAGCACATTCTCTAAATTAGATTTTGGCTCTTGAGTTTGAAAAATAAGAGGTTGTTTTTGCTCATTGTTGTTGCTCCATGAAAAGTTCGGGTGTTTCCTCTATGCTGGATTGTATGTGTTGGAATATGGATTCCCTTACCCCCTTTGGAAATTATTGACGTAATTGGCTTGTTCAGGCTGAGCAAACGGGTTCCCTTCTTGACAATCCTTAGATGAATGATTTCCTGCACAAAGGTCACATGTTAGAGAAGAAGATTCAATTGCATTTATTTTTAACACATTACCTAATTACTTTTGGATTTTTGAAAGTTGAGCAGCCAATACGGTATAACCGTTAACTTCGTGCACTCTCGCCGATTTCCTTATTGAAGTTCTCTCTGAAGTCCTCATATAGTTATTGTTCGCCATCACCTCAATCAGATTGTATGCTTCCTCTGGTGTTTTATTGTTCAAGGCTCCCCTACTTGCAGCATCAATCATAGCTTGAATAGTTGGTAGCAACCCTTGGTAGAATGTTTGCACTTACGACCAGATTGGCAAACCATGGTGAGAGCACCTCTGTAAGAGATCCTTATACCCTTCCCATGCTTCATACAATGACTCTGAATCTTGTTGGTAAAAGTTGGTAATTTCACTCCTCAGCTTGGCGGACTTGGCAGGTGGAAAATATTTAGTGAGGAACGCTTGAGCTAACTCGTTCCATGTCGTGATGCTCCCAGATGGCAGAGAAATCAACCAAGCCTTAGCTTTATCCCGAAGAGAGAATGGGAAAAGCCTTAGCCTAATTGCGTCATCGGATACTCCATTATGCCTGAATATGTCGCATAATTGGGATCATCATTAGGTAACCCAGCGAATTGGATGACTACTAAATCATTTGAATAATTGTTGGCTTAATCTCAAAATTATTCGCTTGAACTGGTGGTCTCCTGATGCTAGAATAGTACCCATTAATAGTAGGACTAGAGTAGTCCTTCAATGCTCTTTGAACACTACTGCTCCACCCATTGCATTTCCTCCTAAGGTATCCTCATTCTCTTGATTTTCCACATTGGGATTGAAAATTCCTGTGTTAGCCATCGACTTTTCAAAGTCAACTTGCCTCTTATCTTTCCTTAATTGTTTAGCCGTTCTCTCGATCTCAAAATCTAGTGGATTAAGATCACCACCACCTCTTGAACATAAACTCTCCAAATTCTAGCTAAAAGCAACAAACAAAAATAAAAATTAATTTCTAAAAAAAATAAAACAAATCAAATTAGCAACTAAATATTTCGTATTGATATTGGTAAAACGAAATAGTTCCCTAGCAACAGCGCAAAAAACTTGACAGGCTATTCGCAAGTGTACGAAATCGTGCAAGTAATAAAGCTTGAGTAAACGAGTGTCGAATCCCAAGGGAACAACCTACCAAGTACCAAACTAGTCTATTTTGTAACTATTTGATGAAATAGAATTTTAAGAATGAATTTAATGAAAAAGAAAACAAACTAAAAACTAAACAAAAGCAGAATTTTATAAATAATTTGATAAACAGATCAATATGACTAAACCTAGGGCACAGATTTCACACCAATTTAATCCTATGCATTGACCATTATTGCTAACCTAATTAAGCTTATTCTAAAGGCCAAACTCCCTAATATTTCACCAACTTTCTCTCGAATAATTAGCTAATTAACCCTTAAGCAACAACCCAAAATATCTCTAAGTTGGATTTAGGAGCTAAGAGATCATTACGTTCCGTGGAATTTACTAGAGTCTCATAAATCGCGGTAACCTATCTCTGGCGTTCGCTCAATCTATGGTTTTATTACCTTAGACAAATCAGGTTTCATCTCTCGATCTCAACCCAACCCGTGATATCATTCAACCCTCAGATCCTTAAGAATTGAACACATTACACATAATAATAAAACTTAGAATTAATGCTGAATAAGAATTAACAACAATAAAGCTAACACATATTCATAAATTGGGCTATATCTTTAGCCCTAGAAAAGGGATTTAGTTCATAATTACAGTAATAAAAGCAACCATTGTATTTAATAACATGAGTTCAAGAAAGACAAATATAAACACTTCTCTAATTGGTGAACGAGAACTTCTAGAATTCCGATCTCCAAAATAGTAGTCGTCATTTCTCCTTCTCTAAAAGCTCTTTCAAAACTACTTAAAGACCTTATTTATAGTCCTAGGGTTTTGATCTTACTTAGGAAAAATTTAAACGCCTCAACCCATTCAGATTCGGACTAAGATAATGCATTAACCTAACAAGCTTGTGACCCATCACCGCTACGGTAATAACAGTCGCTATGGTGATCGTTCTTTCTGTCCAATGAGTCCGTGGTCTTCAGAATTTGGTAAAGTCATCAACACAAACTTTGTAGGTCTCTGAATAATCTTTCCAAAGCCATCTGAATCGTTGAATTCCGATTTCTACAGCTCAAGTTATGACAGAAACATCAAAGCATGCTCATCTTGAAGGATTTCCAGATTTTACGTTGTATCTTTGATGTGTCACAACTTTCTCGTTTCAACTCCGATTCTCGTACCGTTTGTTCCTATGCGTCATGAATTACATCGACACCATTCTTTTCCCTTCAAATATCTCTTTGAACCTGAAAATACTCAAAATACACCCATGATCCCGTAAAAGGTATTTATGAAAGAATTAATTCAAATTCCACAATTTAAACACATTTTTCCATAAATAATCCAATTAAATCACTAACAAAATATAAACTTCCAAGCTCTTATCACAACCCTCAACCAACTTTTTGCTAGCCCCTAGCAAACTAAGCGATAAAATAAGTCTCTAAGCTTGAAAATAAAACAACCAATTAAAAACCTATATCTAAACTATCCTAAATCACTTTCATAGATTGACACGATTGTATTTAGCGTATACAACAAGCCTTTAAACCCCTAGGCGGCCCTTGTTGGACGAGTTGTAGTCTCGTGGGGGTTTCCAGTGATGGCACCCACAAACATCCACACTAAACTTATCCTAAACTCCAAAAATAAAAATAAACATAAACATAAAAAGAACAAAAACTAACAAAAATTCTTGGATCAATTCATAGAGGTGTCTCAAAAATAGCATATACACAAAACAAATAGAATAATTAAAAATCACCAAACTCACAAACAATGCAAAAATCAATTCCATTTTCGTTATCGACCCTAGAACATCCATACAACCACAAACCATTAGTCTACAAACTCGGATAGTTTTATGCATAACATTCATGAACAAAATTTTGATCTCAGTATTGGGGTTATGACTTATATGTGAATCATGGAATCAAACTCCATAGGCTCACTTTTCAAACCACTCTCCACCAATGTAGAATTTCACATTACCTTGGATCAATAAGTCTTTGTAAAGGTTGTAACGTTAGGCTAGGGTATGAGTTCATGAAGGACCGAAAGGAGAAATTAACAAAAATCAAATTAAGAGACTTAATTTTCATTCATTCTTATTACTAACATACAAAACACTTCCCTTTTTTCACTCAGTAGCTTCCTAACCTTTATCAAGCTCTTTCTTTTTGACATTAATATCAACCCATTTGCATAATTCCCAATCTTCACAATGCTCTTCAATGCCCATTTTTCTTTCCTTTCTGATATATATATATTTTTTTTTTATGATACTTATAATAAGAAGAAAGTAGAAAACACACACACAGCCCCACTGATCTTATAAGCACTCCACAACCCCCAACCAATTTCTTCGCATAAACCTGGGTTGTGGCAAAACTACCACCTCCAAATTCAGTGAAAGGCTGTCAGAAGTTTCCTTGGGCATGCAGGTTTTTATAGGAGATTCATGCAGGATTTCTCTAAAATCTCTAAACCTCTTTGTGATTTATTAGCTAAGGATGTTCCTTTTAATTTTAGTCAAGAGTGTTTAGATGTATTTAAGTGTTTAAAAGAAAAACTAATCTCTGCTCCTATTATTGTTGCGCCTGATTGGGAACTACCTTTTGAACTCATGTGTGATGCAAGTGATTACGCTTTAGGGGCTGTTTTAGGACAGTGAAAAGGTAAGCTTTTGCATGTGATTTATTATGCCAAAAAGACTTTAACGCGACCATAGTTAAATTATGCCACTACTGAAAAAGAATTTTTAGCAGTAGTATTCTCTATTGATAAATTTCGTTCTTATTTGCTAGGTACTAAGGTTATTGTGTACACTGACCATACTGCATTGAAATACCTCCTAGCAAAACGGGATTCCAAGCCAAGATTATTGCGATAGGTATTGCTCTTACAAGAATTTGACTTGGAAATTAAGGACAAGAAAGGAACAAAAAATCAAGTAGCTGATCATTTATCCCGATTAGAGTCCAATGAAGAAGTTCGAGAGAAAGAAAAGCCAATCAACAAATAATTCCCAGATGAGCAATTGTTTGCTATTCAAGAAGGGTCGTGGTTTGCAGATATTGCTAACTATTTGGCGCATACAGTATTGCCTCCTGGAATGAACTCCCAAAGACGAAAGAATTTTTTTGCAGATTTAAAGTACTACTTTTGGGAGGATCCATTTTTGTACAAGCATTGCGCCGATCAAATGATAAGAAGATGTGTGCCAGAGGAAGAGATGACGAATATTCTTCGTCATTGTCATTCAATGGAAGTTGGTGGTCATTTTGGTTTGACAAAGACCGTTGCTAAAGTTCTTCAATCAGGATTTTTCTGGCCAACTCTTTTTAAAGATGCTTTTTATTTTGTTATGAGTTGTGATGAGTGTCAACGGGTTGGGAACATATCTAGGAGAAATTCCATGCCTTTATATAATATCCTAGAAGTAGAATTGTTTGACGTGTGGGGAATAGATTTGATGGGACCGTTTCCTTCCTCGTTTTCTAACCATTTTATTTTGGTTGCTGTAGATTATGTTTCGAAGTGGGTGGAAGCTACTACGTTGCCAACAAACGATGCTTGCGTAGTTGTCAAGTTTGTGAAGAAGAATATCTTCTCAAGGTTTGGCACAACAAGGGTCATTATCAGTGATGGTGGTTCTCATTTTTGCAATTGCCAATTTGCAACATTGTTAAGCAAGTATGGGGTTACACATCGAGTTGCTATACCATATCACCCTCAAACCAGTGGCCAAGTAGAAGTATCCAATAGGGAGCTAAAACGAATCTTGGAAAAGACAAGAAGCACCTCTCAAAAGGATTGGGACACCAAGCTTGATGATGCATTATGGGCATATAGGATGCCATTCAAAATACCAATAGGAATGTTGCCCTATCGGATGGTTTATGGAAAAGCTTATCACTTGCCAGTAGAGTTAGAACACAGGTCATATTAGGCAGTGAAGTTTCTGAACTTCGATCTACAAGCCGCAGGAGCAAAACGATTACTGCAACTCAATGAGATGTAAGAGTTTTGCAATAATGCATATGAGAATGCCCGAATCTACAAAAAAAAAAAAAAAAAAGACTAAGCAGTGGCACGACAAACATATCGTGAACAAAGAATTCAAGGAGGATGACAAAGTGTTGTTGTTTAACTCAAGACTACGACTTTTCTCGAGAAAATTGCGCTCAAAATGGTATGGCCCATTCATAATTCATCCCGTGTTTTCGTATGGGGCAATAGAGCTTCACCACCCGACAAAGGGAACAGTC